AGCTGGGTGCATTATTTTTTCTAGAAAAGGAATGAAAGCTTTCACCAATACAATAAAAATAAAAGGCTAGAACACTTTGAAACATTTAAAAAGATGCAGACAACTACACATGTACCAGTAATGGCTGCCTAGAGTCACATATTGAATGAGATCATCCACAACCAATGGACTTAAAAGTTGATAGTTTCACTCTTTGATGTTGATGCACATTTTGAACAAGAACACTGTAATACCAAACTCACTGCATCACAATGACCCTTTGTGAAGTAATGGACTCTCAAAGTTTATCAACTATTACTCAATTATGCTCGAGTGTTGAGTTAGGTTCAACATTTTTGAAATGATCAATCAAACTTAATTATCAAAGCTGATGAATATTACTATAAACTATTCATCATTGCCGGACTGGTTTTGTAAATAACTGATCATTTTTAGCATTTCACAATGTACTGTAAAACGGACATGTGAAACTTTACTGTAGGTGGTGGACTGTCACAATTTAACATTTTAAAGACAGTACATTCATTAAAAAAAATATTAATCTTAATCAAATTCATAGGAAAATCCACGTGATAAAATTCTGATAATATACAAATAAACACTGATGTACAGTTTTCATAAACAGTACATATGTTCCAAGAATATTTGAAAACATATTTCATAATCAAAGAGGGACTTCTTTTGCATGCAAGTAAGCTTGAAAATAACAACATGATATAGTCTTGGAGACAGGCCAGATATATTGTTCAATTTTTTTTTAGCTACTAGCAGTTGCTAAATTGACAATAAAATGCCACCAGCTTTATTGGAAACCTTTCACCAACTCTGAACTCAGATCGACCTCAAACTTAGAAGGCACATTTGTTGAAGTAAATTGGATGCCACTTTGAGGTTTAAAATATGGGTAGGATTTGACAGGTTATTACTGCGTGTGTCATCATTCATGACTACCAAGGGGATTTCCCCTACACATCCTGCACACCCCTGTTAGAGTAAAATAAACCTTACCTAACACCACTGTGGCCATGGGTGAAACCACTTTGAAAAGGGGAAGATATCAAGTGTTGCGTGAAATAATCCCAATGCGGGGAGCTGGCCACCCCGTGACAACATTGGTACAGCCGGATCTTATCTTTAATGTCCCTGCAAACTAATGGAATCTTCCACTGCACTGTAGGTGACGAGTTTACATGCAGTGACAAGTCAATTAATTACTGTGTGGGGGAGACTGCAAATGGCATGCAGAGAAAAAAAAACCAGCCAGCTAGTGGAACTGATGAGAAACCATAAAGCGCCGAAGTACAGTGTTTAATTTAACCGTACCTGCTCTACTCTCAGTCTGAATGACGCCGAAGTTCCGTGTTGTTTTCAATCATTTGCTGCTTCATTTACAAAATGAAATTTGGACAGAGTTGACGAGGGAGAAAAAAAAAAAAGCTCATAATTTCAAATCAATTACTTTCCTCTTTCTCTATTTTTTCCTATTTGAATGAGCACTGAACTTGAAGCGATGTTCTGCTGTCACGATCTACTGATGACTTTTGTGCAGGCCAAGGTCAGAAGTTAATGAACCAAGACAGCAAATGAGTGGATTGCATCCTTGCGTACACCATCCTAACTTGCTCCATGGAGATGCTGGATAGGTTGGAAATTGCAGCCACTTAAAGCCATCCACCTGCTCTGCAAAGTGCACGTGGAGTCCATATCTGTCTGGTGACTTGATGAGGGGGCGGGGTTAGGGGCGGGGTTAGGGGCGGGGGAATCATAAACCACGAATGAGTTACTTAAAGACACAAACATGTCCACAGTTGGGAGTACTTTAGCATCAGAGGCATGAGAACACTATGCACTCACTGGTTTCATCACAGAATTACAATTCCATATGGCAATGAAAAACCAACCCAGCTTTCCATCCAGAGTGATTGTTGGTAATAATATCCTGTTCTCACTGTGTACCAAAATGCCAAAACAGCCGAGTATAAAACAACCAAATTTGTAATTAAAATGACTATATTTCTCTAGCATGTAGTATTGGTTCATTTTTTTTTTAAATACTGTTTCGCAATGTACGATGTGCTAATGTAAATGTCACACAATGAACCTCCGGTATTGCAGCCTAAGAATAACGGGTTTCCATTCATTCCATTGGACATATTTTCGCACAGCACACCAGCTTTTTGAAACAATCCAAAACGGAGCCTCACAATGAAATATTATTTTCAAATAAACCACAAATGCTCTATGAGTGATTCCTGTTTGCTATTTCCCAGGTTTGCAGCATTGCTAAGTGCTAATACTGCTGGCATCGTGACTTGGGGCATGATCCCTGGCTACATAGCATATACAGGTTTATGGCTTTGATTAGCGCCCCTTGAGCAAAGACACTGACAAAGGGGAACTGCCAACATAGGGCTGGATAGCTCAGTTGGTAGAGCACCGGAATGACAATCCGGAGGTCGCACATTCAAACCCTGTTCCAGTTTTTTTCTTTGTTCAACTTAAAAAATGATGTATTATTACCATTATTTGAGTGCAGCAGTAGGCCTACTTCCCGCACTTTCCACCTGTATGAATCAGATTCACATCCTACTCAGGCCGAATGGTTCATTGAGTTTTCAATCCCTGCCTGTGGTTTTCCAAGGAAGGTCAAACTGAGGCTTTTCCTCCTACCTCTGAAACTGAACATTTCTTTAAAAATCTTCTCTCTTAATAAAGGTATGTACCGTAGGATCATTTGACATTTTAGGAAACATACCTATCGATTTAATGACAGAAACCTTACTCAATGTGAGGACAGGATTCAAAGTGAAGATAGGACGAGTGCCTTAAAAAAAAAAAAATTTCCTGCTCAAATTCGTGAGAAATACATTCAAGTTTGTATATGAACATACATACTCGAGCGTTTTTGATCATTTTCATGGCATTCAATTTCATATATACTACAGACTTTCAAATTTGTTTGCGTCATTCACCTAATTGTCATTCAATTTAGCACAACTTGATTTAATGAGGTTTCCACCTTCAATTGTTATTTTCCTTAGTTTCCATTTAATTACAATCAATTTAGCACTTTGAGCATTCAAATAATTACATGCATTTCAAATGGACGAAAAGCTACCGAAAGTAACATTGAAACAAAAGGCTTAATTAGGACAGCTGCACTTTTCATCTTTAGTTTCTTTTTTATTTTCTTTGGCATCTTTTCTTACCTTCTGGTCTTTTTCTTTCACTTTTCTATGATTGTTCTTGTAAAAAAAATGGTGTAAGTGATGTAATTGAATTCCAATGCCAAATGTCAAAAATGTTTGCCCATTATGTTCTTGGCCCATAGCTTGGGTGATTACTTCAATTTTAACGAGCATACTTTTCATTTTAATTTCCCTATTTTCTGATTGTGTGCTGGAATTTCCTGGAAACACTGAATTTGATGTCCTTTTTATTTTAATTGAATGATGATCTTAAACTGCATGGAAATTCATGCTGTAAGAGTGAATGACTTTAAACTTAAAGCTAATTATGGGTGATACATGTAATTGTTAAAATTGAACAGGAAACCTATTACCAAAATGAACCCTCATTAGTCAGACCTTGATGTTGGTTCATAGTTTGTTAAATCTGTAAATGGATGTGAGTCTACCCAAGGGAGAAAGCAAGTGTCCATGCTTGCCACGTCGGTGCCAAGTATCACCGGAATCTTTACTGGCCGAATGAGAATCATGTCCCAATTGTTGATTTAGAAACTGTATCATGAGAGCGCACAATTCAATATGCAGAACAGAAACATTAGGAGACCAAACAAAGTTTGCATAGGTTGTTTTCCTGTATTCTCAAAATGTGTAGTATCTTCTGAGCTGCAACTTCAGAAGGTCAGTTGTTATGCACCTTCTGTAAGACTTGTTTTAGCTTTAAAAAGAAATGCGTAAAAAGCAAGTGATACTACAGCACTTTTGGTTTCATTAATCAAAAGAAAGAAATAATAGATAATAAAACAGCTCTCCATTTTGCCAGAGGATGCTATTTCTTTGTCAATCCAAATACCATGAGATAGACACTGCCTGCTTCATTTGTTGGATTCCTAGCGGCTTCATAACCAAACCTTTTTTCTTCTCTTTTAATCAATGGCAGCATGTTAAGTGGCAATATCCATAGAAGGGAAGCAGTGATTAAGTGGTCAGGGCACCGGTCAAGTGGACCAGACTGTTGATCCGTTTGACTGCTGGACTGTGGATTGTGACTGTGATACAAATTGATTTCTTTGCTGAATTATTTATTTATTTCTGTAATAAAAATAAAAAAGGAATTTCTTTGTCTCACAAAGTTTGATAAAAAGAGTCCAATGTTTAAGAGGCTATTTCCAAAATGTGAGACAAGAAACTGCACTCTTAGTGCATTGCTGACTAGAGCCCTTAGGCCCCCCCCCCCAAAAGTCTCTGGTTTCTGGTATGCGCGCGCGTCGGCAAAATAAAAAAAAAGAAAATTTCAATGTAAGATGATGTCTCAAAACTGCCAAACTCACTGGTTTGACTGGAATCCTGCTGCTGCACAATTTTAATGTGTTTTTAGATTGGGTTACGATCGAGTATAAGCTTTATGTGGCCTCTCTGGGCTCCAATACATTTTGCACTAAATTTAGTCGGGCACCATTTGCAGTCATCAGCTGACATTTGAAGGAAAAAAAAGTGTGTAAAAAAAACCTTTGCTGTCGACCATGCTACCTGCACCAATTTCTCCAGTACAACACCATGTGCTTGATTGAAAAGTGAAATGCCGTTCCAGGCCAGTGCCAACCGATTTTAAAATGCCAGGTGTGCGCAGAATAAAAGGGAAAAAATACAATAAGATTTGGAAACATCACGCATCCCTCATTTTTGCTTTAGTAGCATTCAATTTCAGCATGCCCACGACAAATACTCCAGTCGGCAAAACAAGTTAAACACAGTCAGTTGAGCGTAACATACTCCAGTATAGAAAGAGGAATATAAACTTGATTGCTCGCTCACGTCCAGCCCCGGTACCGGTGCTTGGTCCCCCGCAGTCCATGAAAAGACCAACTCTCCTGGAAACTCACAAGAGTATTAAGTCATGCCTGGCTAACTGTAGTGTGCACAGATTCAGCACGCAGATATGCATGCTAGTTTTTTTTTCTTTCTCTTTCAGGCGGTGGGGTATTGTCACACACCCAAACCCCACCATACAGGAAGTGCCACAACAAAAGGGGATGTCCAGGTCATTCCAGGACAAAAGACAAGCTTGATATGCTGTGTCGGCCCACTTCTCCCAGGCTGCCTATTCTGACGTGTCCCTATATGGACAGGTTGGCACGCAACAAAGAAAGTGCGAGGATAAAGTTCATCACTGTCTGAAAGTACAGCTAGTCCCTGTGTGACGGCAGGCAAAGTACGGTGCCTGCAGTAAAAAGTGCGGCTGCCCCAGGCCCGGCCCATACAAAAAGTGCAAACAACCCGCTAGTAACCCATGTAGTCTTCTCAACATGATCCGCGCTGGCTCTCTTCTCTTTTTCCCCTCTCTCTTCTTTCTAGACTTTGGCCATGATGCATGTAGTCCTGCTAGGCTGGAAATGGCTGCCACAGTTGGTGCAGTGCGGAGAGAGAGCAAAAGACAGACTTAACACAGAGGGGAGAACAAGAATGAAAGAGAGTGAGTGAGCGAAAACTGAGCTTTCTGATTGTCTGGCGGGGACTGGCTTGAACAGTCCCTGGTGTTGCCAGGCACTGTGATGAGAACTAGAGAATGCCAGTGCACAGGAGGAGGTCTACTAACCTGACAATTCACCCCACTGCATGACTCCATTGTGTCCGACATGCAAGTTGGCGCTTGTGCCGTTGGACCCCTGAGGCTCTGTCAGTGTGTCTGGCAAACCAGGCAATTAGCTTCCTGGGGCAGACAGATCCCAGCCTAGCAGAAAGTTGCAGTCTGACACCACACCACACATAGGTGTTTCACCCAGCTAGCAGGTCACACTAGGGTCAGAGTTCACAATTGACCCCTTGAGGCTTGACCCCACCTTAGCCCTATCTTATTCCTGCATGGCCCTGTCTAATCATCATCAACACCTATCTTATGAGTCCTACATGTACTATGGAGCCCTCACAGTGTTACTACAGCTCAACGCACCTGCTGACCTCTGTGGCCTTGCACTTGGCAACCATTTAGTGTTAATGAACTACCATGGTAGCCGAGGATTGAACTTGAACTTCTGACGGGTCAAATCTGCATTGACCTCAGCACATGTAAATACACAAAGTACTTCCAGAGTCAATGAACCAATACAACCTTAATTCCGGCATGCAGTTGAAGGTGAAACAACTACTGGTTGTGTGGTTCCAAAATAAATCAATAAAATTAATAATAATAAGAAAGAAATACAAAACGAATTACACAAAACAACAGCCACTAACGTTGAGAAATATAATTTATAGTTCCGGCAATTGCGGGAGGACTTGCATCCCTGTATAAATTATAATTGGAATTAATAGCATTGTGCACAATTGCAGGTTTGCTCAGTGATTTAGACCAAGATTGTCGGGAGAGCAAATAGAAAAATCAATATCCTGACAGCAGGTGTGCGTGGACAACCTGCCACTGTGTGTTTTTAAAATTGGCTGAATTAATAACAAAAGGCAGTTGTTTGATTAAAATATACATGTACATGTACATACCTCAACTACTGTCAAAGATACAATTATTTTAATGTTGTGTGAAGATTTGACAACAAAACTCAATGTGATGCTGCGAATTAGTTACATTTTGCCTGCCACTTATTAAACTGACACCGACCATGGAGGACTAAAAAAATACATTCCTCTATGCACCAACAGAGGACCCGAACCTTTCCAACAAAGCAAACAGTAAGGTTTATCATATGAATGCAGATGGCTGGGGGGTCCAATCTCACAGTTTTGATATGGCTTACAAATTTGCCCACGTACACATGTTCAGTTTGATAGGTATAGACAAGGACATGGCTCTGATGGCCCAGAGCACTTTTACCTCAGGAAGTCTTTTTATCAAGAATTAACACAAGGAACATCCCCTACTTCCTCTTACTAGGCTAATCCACAACAAATTCTGACTCTCCTTGTCCAACCTTGAACTACTGAACGAGGTACAAATCGATAGGGTATAGGTTGACCACATTTTTAATCCCGTCTCTTTTTGTTCCTGTCACCGGGGATGCATGCACGATGCTTTTATAAAGTCCTTTAATAAAGGTTGCCCCCTTTAATGGAAGTGTTTGGTCCTTTCATGCAACTCCCTAATGCAATTAGTT